GCGACCAAAGAAGGAGAAAAGGAAGGACATTCTCTACTACCATAGAACTGCCCAATGGAAAGGAATGTTTGTCGACATGCCCGAGGCAGTGGCAAGGATTCACGCACAGCAAGATGAATTACAAGCAATCAAAAGGCAGTATCAGGAATCCCAGAAGCAAGAAGCACAGAAAACGAATACTTACCAGGTTGATGTACCTTATGTTGTGCACTATCAGAAGATGCGAAAAGTTACCTGCAAAATTGAAGATGAAGGGTGTCAGGTGAATGATGACTATGTTGAATGGAAAGATATATGGAAATTCCAGCAAGACTTTACCTGAAGACCAAAATATCAACAGAAGCCTTATCATTATAAGGGACCCGACACGCAGTGTTGGTGTGGAGAACGTATGGACTCACCAAAAGAACATTGTAGCATTTGTGTTTGGAAAATACAGACGTGTAGAGCTATCACACTCTTACCAGATGAAGTACTTGCAAAGCTAGAGAAAGAGGAGAAGATTAAGCCCAAGCAACAATTGAAGCCTATAATCCAAAGCGATGCAGCATATCCAAAGAAGTGGGAAACAAGGGGAATCCTCCAAGCTAGAAAATGGACCCCGAAGGCAGAGCTTCCTACTCCAGTTCATCAAGGCTTCATCCTCTATTCGAATGAAGACACGGTAGTATGTGGACAAGAGTATGTTCCAACTGGTATTGAAATCAAAGTACCTGAAGGCATGTCTGCAATGGTTAGCTCATTGGACAACACGAGTAGCTACATCATTCCTGCCACACTAATCCAAACGCACGGTCGGATAAAAGTCCCCATGATCTCAATCTATGGTGCTTGTATATCAGCAAGGCAGCCTATAGCCAAGCTTACCCTCCTAACAATCGCAGGAGCTCAACTAGTCGCAGCAGGACAACAAAAAGAATCCAAACCATCACCATTCACGAAGAATTCGACACCTGATCAAGATGCTCAAGTAAAAGCTTTGGTGAAGGAATATGATGACATTTTTGCAGAAGATTTAATCGAACTCGGACAAACAACACATATTAAGCATCAAATTCCAACCCT